TATTGTATGATGAAGAACTGTGAATGACTTAGCTATTCTCAGCAATGCAATGATCCAAGACAATCCCAAAGGACTCATGATGAAGCATACTATCCTCCTTCAGAGACAGATCTGGTATTGATTGAATACAGATTGAAGCATGCTATTTTTCACTTTCTTCCTCTCTTTCATTCTTTTTTTTATTCAAGTCTTTTTGTACAAAATGACTAATAGGGAAATGTTTTACATGGTTGCATATGTATAAACTATACCAAATTGCTTACCTGTCTCAGAGACAGAGAGGGGAGGGAAGGAAGGATAGAATTTGGAACTCAAAACTTTTTTAAAAAATGTTAAACAATTGTTTTAACATGTAATTGGGGGAAAAATAAAATATATTATAAAATAAAGATAATGACAACAATAAAAAAAAAAGCACAAAAAACTATTGTGGCCCCCAATAAAATTATATGCCTTCCTCCCTGTAAGGCCAGGGGCTATTTTTTATTTTGTATATCCTTTGCCTTTTTATGTGGCAGTGCTGTACACGTACTAGGTGCTTAATAAATGCTTGTTGAATTAAATTGGATTGAGTTGAAGAAGATGCTAAGGATGTTCTTCCCTGCTTTCCACCATTCTTCCACTATCACTGAAGAACCAGTTAGGGGATCATATAGGACTCAGGACCACTTCATCACCAAGGGGTTGGCCAATTGGTGATGAGTCTTTCCAAGCTTAGCTGGGCTGATCCTCAGAAAGTAGACATGATCTTTTGCTAGGACTATACTTTGGGTGGACTCAAATTTTGGTCGATATATGGAGGAAGATGCTATTCTTCTATTTCTACATAGAATGACTTCCTAGGGGTTCCCTTTTAAGGCTAAACATCCCTAGTTTCTTCATATGTTCTTTTTGTGACCTGAATTTTAGAGTATGCAGAAATGAAGAATTATCTTTAGAGCTGGAATGGACCCTAATTAGAGATAATGCAGTATATTCCCCCTATTTTGCAGGTGAAGAAACCGAGGTCTAGGAAGTTTAAGTAAGTCACATATAACAGTGGTAGGTCCAGGGTTACATATAGGCAAAGGAGACTACCTTGGCACTTTGTGATGTTATGTCATTTGTAACATTGGGGAGGAGTATTAGAGGGAAAAAATGTCACAACCTTAACTCTTTTTGTGGAAGAATCAAAATTAAGTAGAAACATTTGCCTTGTGACTTTGACCTAGAAATATGACAGCCAGTGTTGAGGGAAATCCTTTAAACAGGGGCACTATAAAAACACTTTGCAGATTTCTTAAACTGAGGATAATGGGAAAATTTTAATGAGTCCTAAAGAGACCTTTCTTTCTTCCCCTGGAGCTCCTCTGCAGCCTTCTGTCGCTCTCCAGTGTTTCATTTATTCAATACACATTTTTTCAGCACCTCCTGTTTACCAAGCACCAAAGATGCAAAAATAAAAACAGAGCAATGCCTGTTCTCAAGGAGTTTTTGTTCTGCTGGGGGAAATGACACGGACCCAAATAATTCAATGCCCAATATCTACAAAGTAATTTCTGGGATGAGGCACTAGCAGGACTGGAAGAATCATGATAAACTTTGGCAAGAGGCAGCACTTCAGCTGAGCCTTGAGAGATTCTGTAGGTGGGGGGCTCAGGGAGAGTGAGGAGGGAGGGGCTGTACTAGGCAAAGGGAATGGGCTGGGCAAAGGCATGGGGAGAGGAAGCAGAGGGGGTTGTTTCAGAGAACATCAGCTAAGTCATTTTGGCTGGAGTGGAGCTCTTGAAGAAGAGTAGTAATGAACATGCGATAAACCTGGGAAGGTAGATAGGAGGCCGATTGTAAAGGACTTTAGCCTGCATTTTATCCTAGAGGTGTGTGGGAGCTTGTGGAGCTTTTTGAATAGGGGAGTGACATGGTCAGATATGGGTTTGGCAGAATGACCTGCACAGTCATCTGGTTCATCCCGAATCTTCCTGAAACACACTTTAATCATATTATTCCTCTCCTTAATATTCTACAGTGGTTCAAATAACCCACCAAATGGTATTTGGCTGGCTTTCAAGACGTTCTAAAACCCCACTCCATTCTTCCTAATCTGTCACTGCCATACATACACATTGATTTCTTTGGTCTAATAAGGCCAATTTCCCCATTCGTCCCCCACCCCTACAGTTTCTACTTCTTTGTTCAGATTGTTTGTCCCAGGTAGAGTGCCCTCCTTTCTCTCAACCCTGCCTTTTCTGCCTCAGGAGAACGCACTTCTCTTCCATGAAAGTCACTAGAGTAGAGGTTTCAAACACAGGCATGTAGCCCACAACACTCCTTAGTGTGGCCCAAACTAGGTTAAATTCTAATTGGGAAATATTTAGCGAAAGAAATTAATTTTATATATCTGTGTGTTATACACAAACACACACACCACAAGCATGTGGTCTTCTAAGTCAGTATGTGGCCCACAGGGATCCTTACATACAGTTTTGTCCGCTCTTTATATTAGAGTTTGACACCACCACCCTAGAGGATTGCTGTACTCATTGTTCTCTCTCATTTCTTGTTGTTTGGCAAGGGTACAAAATGAGCACCTTGTTGTATTCCATCTTATTCTCTAAATGTGCGCAATATTCAGTGTGACACCTTACTCTGGTGGAAAGAATACTGAATTACAGTCAAAAGACCATATCTCATGCCTTCTAGTTTGCAGATTGCCATTGTTATTAACTGTTGCGTGTAAAACACTTCTAGACAGGGATTACTGTGTTTTATATTGACTTTGTATTCAGTAAGTGCTTAATGACACAGTCCTGAGTTCAAATGATGGCATTTTTGTTACTCTGTTTCTAATAACCTAGTATAGAATAAGCACTTAAAAATGTTTAATTGACTAAGCCATGGAATATGCTGAAGTTACTGGGATACTCTTAATAAAAAGAGTGATTAGAATAATGAACAGGAGTCTTGGCCTAAAAAAGTTTTTGTACCACTGGTTTTCCTGTTTTGGAAAATCTTCACATAAGCACATAAATACTGTAAGATACCATTCAATTTAGCGTATACATTTATTAAGTACCTATTTTATACAAGGCCAGATGAGTTATGTCATTGTCTTCACTAGTAAGCTTGGATGATGATTGACACATTGGTTTCAGGTGCCTTCGGTAGCAGTTCTCATACCTGCCTCTTTGCTTTAGTGTTGCTGCATGAACCTGTCCTGAGGTGAACTTGCCTATGTGCTTTTTTGGAGGACATTCCTGGGGATAGAGATCTCCGTGGCCTCTTAATAAAAGCAGTTCTGTACCCTTTCAGAGTGTCAGATTCTTCAAAGTGAGAAAAGATAATGTGGTAGAACAGAGTAAGTGGTTCAAAACCAGTTATATTTGGTTCTGAATAGTTGGGCTTTTTTCCACCTTTTGCTGGTAAAGGTTAAGGAAATGAGCTTACTTATTATATTATCACTTCTCCTTTGAGTTCAGTTGAAAGCTAGGATGAGGGCTTGGCAGTTGTCTAGATGAAAGATATATTGAGAGGGTATGATGAAGAACATTTTAAAATATTTTTAATATTTAATTTTAATATTTAAAATATTGCTTTTAAAAATGCATATCACTTTAATGCTAGAAAATTCTGATCCTTGTGGCAAATAGTTTATTGTGCTGAGTTGCCCATTGCAGCAGTAGGCGTGCTTTGCCCATTGTAGCAAAGTCATTTACTGAATCTTGGTCCACAAATGCTTGGTCTCGGTTCCAATTAGTTACCATTTTAGTGTAGTCTTTCTCAATCTTAATCACTAACACTGTTTTCTGATTCAGTAGGTTTCACCTAGCCATTAGTAGCTTGGTCATTCTTTGACATGTTATTCTTTGTTTTCATTTCTTAGTATCAGCTTCCTTATAAAGATATGATAATATATGTTTAGGAATCATTTCATTTTTTTGGACTTTGTATCCATAGTAACAGTTCCTGGCTCATGGTAGTCCCTTAATAAATAAATACTTGTTGATCAGTTGATTGAGGTCGAGGATTCATAAGGAAGGAATAAAAATATGATCTCCATGTACAAGTATCTAGCTTACCATCTAGTCAAGGAGCTGGAATCCATAGACAAAGTGAACATTGAGTACTTATACAGCAAGTATCAGTGACCACTGATGGATAGAATACAAATGCAGCAGAGTAATACTTCGTTTATGTGACTTTCCATTGGAATGAGCCATTTCCAAATGAATGAATTTTCCAGATAAGTTAAACTTGCCCCTTGAAGTATTAATGCTTTCTTAAAAAAAATTAACCTTTTGGGATTGAAATTTTTCTGAAATATAATCCACTTCTTTGCCTTAGTAATCGAAGTAACCCTAGGTACCTTGACCATCAGGTGGCATTATGGATAGGGCATTGTTTATGGTGTTGGGAGGACCTGAGTTCAGATTCTGCCCTACTGCCAGGCACTCACTAGCTTTGTGACTCAGGGCATGTCACTTAACCTTTAGCTACCTCATTTTCCTCATCCCTAAAATGGGGAGACTCTTACCTCGCAGGGTTGTTGTGAGGATCAAATGAGATCTTTGTAGGTCTTTGTAATCTTTGTAAAGTATTTAAAATGTAAACCTTAAAGCTCTCTTATTAGGGAGTAGCTTGTTTCCTCACTCTTCGGACCTGCTGCTTCTAGTCTCTTATGGTCTTAGAACTGAGATGAGTGAAGTTTTTTCAGAACTGTATGTAAATTAGGAGTCAGGGTGAGGACCTCTCCTCTAGGTCAAAGAGATTGAACTCTGTGGCCTCCCAACTGCTAAGGGAATCCACAGTAGAGATGCATGGAGGGGGAGCCTGCTGCGGCACAGAGGCAGCCCCGACCTCGCTCTGAGGGAGACACTTGCAAGTCCTCACCCCAAGCCATATCCAAGTCTTCACCCCAAGCCATATCCAGACAATGACAAGTGTCCAGCAGAGGGAAGCAGGCAGGCTGGATTTGTGTGTTTATGTCCCCCACTTTATTTTTCTGCGGCTTTCTCCCTCTGCAGGTTGGAGATCACAAATTCAGTGCCCACAGGATTGTCTTAGCTGCGTCAATCCCTTACTTTCACGCTATGTTTACCAATGACATGATGGAATGTAAGCAAGACGAGATTGTAATGCAAGGAATGGACCCAAGGTAACTATCAATGACTGTGCTATGCATTTCCATAGTATAGTCTGCTTCTCATGGTTGTTTTAGCCTTTGTTCTTTACACTCGTCCTTTAGTGATAATAAAGGAGCTACAATGGCTTGGCTTATGTGGCCAAGAGTAGCGTTTTGCCTCTTTATTTATTTATTTCCTATATTCTTTCCCTTTTTAGGGGAGGTCTCCATGCAGACCAAGAGCCCATTACTCAGCCAATGTTATATTTGGAGCATTGTTAAGTTTTGATCTAAGGGAAGACTGGTGACCTGCTTTAGTTCACGTTTTGAAATAGTAATCTTTCATCTATTGCATAGCCTTTTAGTCATATTGGCCTCCTGGGACTAAAATATTACTGAAAAACCATGCTGGAAATAGTGAAGGCAATGGTCAGAGATCCTGAAATGAGAGATTTTCACACTGACCATTTGAGAGAAGAGAGTCGGGTTAAATATGTCTATTAAGAAGACACAGGAGACAAGTTACATAATGTTACCTTGAGACCCAGGAATCTTGATAGTATCCCATTGTGTTTGGGTCTGGTTGAGGCGAAAGCCTGCCTGGACATAGGGGTCTGCGTGATATACATATTAGCTTCTTCTCGCTTTTTAAGACTTTTGCTTCCAAACTCAGAAGTTATTACCTGCTCTCAGCTGCTATCGGGGAAGCACTGGCCATTGAGGTGCTGTTATTACTTGAGGCTCCTGGTTGCTGCTACCCTTTCAACAAAAGGAAATAGAACTTTTCCTTAGACCGTGAGTGAAGGCTAAAGCTGTTAAGTGCACTGTCAGTTTATTATTGAAGTGTTTCTGGGGAAAGGAATACACTTGGCATGTCAAGCCAAATGGATGGACTAGGCTTTTTGAGTTCTTTCTCTGTGGTGCAAATCCCACAGGTATGTCTCCATAGGTGGGAGGGGTGACTACCTCCATCAATACCAGATAAACCCCAGAATTCCACCCAAACATTACAAGGAATGTCCACTGCCATTGGCATGTTTTAGTCCAGTTTGGAGTATGTGTTGGGGGGAGAGGAGATAGGGGAGGGATGGTCTTATGGAGCCTTTTCCGCAAGGCCATGAGACCATTTGAGTGGTGATTTTTCAAAGCGATTTGTGCTTAGGGCCCTGACAGTCCCTGAGGCTAGAGGGAAGGGCAGGGAAACCAGATAATGGACCAGCCGAAGGTCAGGGAGTGAGGGTGAGAGCGTATATTCTGATGGGCAAGGGGGCTTGGAGTGAAGGACTTCTGTATGTGGAGCAGGTTCGAAGGAAGAAATAAGAGGGAATCTTAGTGGTGTCAGAGGAGGAAGAAATTCGGAGCGGTCGGTCTAGAAGGAGCAGATGCCAAAAGTGAAGCAAGGGCATGTGAGGTCCTGAGAGGTTCCAAAGAGGCCCGGAAGCAGAGCACGCTCAGAGATTACTGTCCGAGCAGCGGGTGACCTTAGATGGGAAGGGAGGGTCATTGAGGTCAAGTCGGGTCCCAGAGTGAGACAGACAGATGTCTCTCATGCAGTCTGATCTTGAGTCTGGTGCATTTTTCTTAGCCTGCTGAGTAGGAAAGTTGGCAGAGAAACACCTCTGGTTAACTCGGCTGCTTTTTCCTATTTTCACTGTAGCGCCCTGGAGGCTCTGATTAACTTTGCCTACAATGGCCACCTCGCCATTGATCAGCAGAATGTCCAGTCCTTGCTCATGGGGGCCAGCTTCTTACAGCTGCAGAACATCAAAGATGCTTGCTGCACGTTCCTCAGAGAAAGGTGAGAGGGCAGAGAGAACCCAACAGGGGAAGGAATGGTCTGCCTTTGCCCTGGGAGTCCCTGGCTAGGGTTTTCCGGTCCCTTCCAGCTAATGTCATTGTACCACATGAAAGGATCTGATTGGTAAGAAAGACTGTACTGCGGAAGTGATATTTTAAACAATCAGAATGAAGTCATAACTACCCACTGCCAGATTAATCTTCCCAAAATAGCACTTTGTGAGTTATCTTCCTGCTAAAAAAAAAACCTGACCCTCTCATTTAGAGAATTAAGCTCAAACTCTAGTCTAGCATTCAAGGCCCTTTATGATGCAGCATCTAAGCTGTCCCTCAAGGAGGCACATTGTGAATTGTAGCTAATTATGGTGAGGTCTGGATCAGTGCTGACTGAAGAGATTGTTGAGCTTGGATTCAAATCCCTCCTCTGATATATATTAGTTGTGTGACCAGGGGCAAGTCATTGAACCTCTCAGTGCTTCGGTTTCCTCAGCTGAAAAAATGTGGATAATCCTGTGTAGTAATCCTGAAGTAGTAATTACTTCACAGCATTTTTGTGAGGCTCAAAGGAGAGAGTGTGTGTGAAGTGCATTGCTAACTTCAGGGTGCCCTACAAAGGTCAGTACTTAATAATGAGGACGGTGATGAAGACAGTGGTCATGTGAGCTGAGTCTGCTCTGTGTTGTTACCCTGATGCCTTCTTCCCACTCCTGACTGTGTCATTTTTCCTTCCATCCCTGGTGTGCAAAGCCCGTTCCCCTTCCTCCTCATCCCTCCCGTGCTTGCTCCCCCTGAAAAAAGCCCACCTCCCAGCCCCAGGTAGCACAGCAGTGGTGATTGTGGAGCAAGGCATCCCAGTCTCCTCCTACCTCCAGGTGCTAGTGAGTGGTAACTGCACACACAGATACACGCTGGAGAAGAGCATTGGTGAAATGTGTAGAAGAAAGCAGAGAAGGGCACAAAGCAGATCTAGTACAACTTTCCATTTCACAGAGACATACGGCTTAAAAACAAGTAGTACATGGCAGAAGGTCGCAGTTCTTGTACAAGGAATGTTTGTATTTGTCGATAACTAAATTCATAATGAAAAAAAAAGTTTAAAGGTGGGCTAAAGTCAGGCTTCCTTGAACTTCAGGTGAAAGCAAGGACCTGCTTCATTTTCCAGCCAGGTACTTATTGTTCCTTTGCAGTCACCAATTGGTCTTAGGGAAGAAGAGTAAAAAGAATTCTGTCTGATTCAGTGCAACTGTTCCTCAGTGCCCAGGAAGAGTGCTCAGCGTTAGCCTACTCAAAGGAAAATGTCAGAAAACAGATTATAGAAACCATGAACTGACAAAGAAGTTAAGACTATTGGGACTATTTCAAAAATTGGTTTGAAAGAGGCAGCGTTGGGCATCTCTGCACATAAGACTAAGCATATTTTGGTAATACTCTCATAGGCAATAAGACTCTGGTCAGGTTTCAGGGGCGGATTTTGGGTCCTCCTTCAAGGTTGAAAACTGAGATCTAGGAATGAAGCTTTCTCATGTGGTAGCGTAGAAAAGATACATGTGGCTAATGTTCCAATATTTCCATAGCTCTGTAGCTTCTGCTCTGAAAAGAACATAAGTAGGACCTTCTCAGATGCCTTGGCCAAGCAAGCCAGTGCTTTACTAAAGGAACCATCATATTCAATTGGTGCTGGTCATAAAAGCCTTTTTAATACTCAGCTGCTCTGTTGTAGAGGCAGCGTGGTGGAGTCGAAAGAACCATAGGTACGGAGTCACCTCACATATGATTCCTGCACTTGACCTTCGGCAAATTAGCTAACCTCTTTGAGGCTCCTTCCTCAGCTGTGCCATGGGAATAAGACTTCTTCTATTAGCTACCTCACACGATGTTGTGAGAAGAGTGTGTAAACCTTGGAGTGTTATGTAAGGGTGATCTATCAGTATTTGTGTTAGAAATGCCTGGCTTGAACTTCAGCACATAGGAGAGATCTTTGAACTTTGTACATTTGATAAAAAACACTATTCTGTTCTTTGCCCATGATCCCAAAGAAAAAGAGGGATGTCAATTGACCAACAAGTATTTATTAAAGGCCTACTATGTGCCAGGAACTGTGGGAAGAAAGAATGAAATAGCCTTACTCCCAAATAGCTTACATTCTAGTAGAGGAGATGACATGTAAAGATAAAACTATTTACAGCACAGATATAAAGTGAATAAATATAAATATATTCAAAGTAATTAAAAGCACGATAATTTGAGAGAGAGGGCACTAGCATTTTGGGGGGATCCGGAAAGGCTTCATGCAGAAATTGCTTGATGCTTGAACTGCATCTGAAAGAGAGAGACTCTGTAATAAGGAAGTCAGGAAGGAAGGCCTGGATTCCATGCATGTGGGATGGCACAGAGAAAAAAGATGGAGTGTTGTGTGTATGAGGAACAGAGAGAAAACCTATTTGGCCGCATCTCAGAGGGAGAAATGATGCCCAGCGATGTTTGAAAGATAGGTTGGGACCAGGTTGTGTAGGAGAATTTTAAAGGACAAACGAAGGGGTTTATGTTTGTCCTTGGGTCAATAGGAAGCCACTAGGGTTGGTTGAGTAAGAGTGTCACATAGTCAGATCTGTACTTAAGAAAAGTTATTTTGGTAGCAGGGTATGCGATGTTTTAGAGTAGTGATGAGGCAGGGAGACCAGTTAGGAGGCTGTTGGAATAATTTAGGCAAGAGGTAATTTAGCCTGAACTGAGCTTGTAGCTGTATGAGTGGAGAAAAAGGGTCAGGTATGAGAGATATTGTCAAGGTAGAAACAGCAAGATTTGGCAACTGATTAAATATGTGAAGGGTGGAGGAGTGAAGAGTGGAGATGATAATCTTGAGAGACTAGAAAGATGGTGGTGCCTTTGACAGAAATAGGGAAGTTTGGAAGAGGGGGTAATTTGGAAAGAAAGATACATTCCATTTAAGACGTGTTGAGTTAAAATGTCTCAGGGACATCTATATTGAAATGTTGACTAGGCAATCGGTGATACAGGACTGAAGCTCAGCGGGGAGACTAGGCCTGGATAAGCAGATCTTGAGTTGTCTGTGTAAGAGTGACAAACCCTTGGTTAAACTCGTGGTTGCTGATGAGGTTATCGGGAGAGAAGAGAAAAGGACCCAGGACAGAACCTCAGCAAACACTTTCTGTTAGATGATATGATACGGCTGATGGGCCAGCAAAGGAGACTGAGAAAAAATGGTCACACAAGATAAAAAACATTTTAATTGTGAAAAATAAGTGCAGGCTTTCAAAAACTGACAACTTTCAGGTTTTTTTTTTTTTCCCAGAAGCCACTGCTAGAAGAGACAAAGAAGCAGAATCTCAGTGCTAGGATAAGATTGGCCCCTGGTGCCTGCTGCTGCCTCCCTCTTCGCCAAACCTTCATTACTTTGGAAATTTCATTAGTGCATCACCCAAGTCTGTTGTCTTTGTGCTTTGTCTTCAGACAAGAGTCCTGTCTAGCTTGCTGTCACCATCAATATCAACCAAAAAGAACCAGCAAGAAGAAATCTTCCCTGTTTGTCTTAGATTACAGTTATTTTGGAATTGACAGATGATCTAGTCAGAGTTGATCCAGAGTCAGAGCAGGGAGTTTTAGGTATTATTCAGCAAAAGATCTAGGTACAGGGTATTGTTGTGTGTTAGCTCTTCACAGGAGAGTAGTGCATTTGGATAGAGGATTTGGGTGGATCTCTCTACTTACCTTTGAGACCACAAGCAGGTCACTGTACCTTTCTCTGCCTAATTTTCCTCATTTGTAAAATGAGGAGGCGTGTAGTGGAGAATCTCTAAAGAACATTCCTCCCGTTGTTAATCCTGTGATCCTATAATGAAAGAGACATGAATCTCTAGAGAATGCCTTGCTATAATTTCATACCCAGGCTCATTTTCTTCCTCTGCCAGTGCTCTTTTCTCTCTCCCTCCTCCCGTTGGCCTAATTCTTTTTACTTCATTGCATTTGCTGATACACATCTTAGTTTAGAATCTAACTTAAACATCAAATTTTAAATCTGGAAAAGACCGTAGAAATTGTCTAGCCCAGCCCCCTTGGAAGTGACTCACCCAGAGTTTAAACAGTGATATATAGTGGTAAAGCCAGGATTAAGACTTCTTCCTTCTGCTCTTCCAGAAGGAACCTAAGAAATGATGAAAAGTTTCATCTCACTTTCCCCCCACTGAGCTCTCTCTTTCTCTCTTTTCCTCACATCCAAAGGCTTCACCCCAAGAACTGTCTGGGTGTCCGTCAGTTTGCTGAGACCATGATGTGTGCTGTGCTGTACGACTCGGCCAACAGTTTCATCCATCAGCATTTTGTGGAGGTGTCTATGTCAGAAGAGTTCCTGGCGTTACCCTTTGATGATGTGCTTGAGTTGGTGTCTCGGGATGAGCTCAATGTGAAATCAGAGGAGCAGGTACTTGGGGGACAGTAGGCTTTCTCAGAGCGTTGGGTAGGAACGTTGTCTTGTTTCAGCCAGTAGGGGACAGAATGCGTTTTGTGGTGCCTCAGTATCTTACTTATTTGACTTTTTGTCCCTTCCCGTGAGCTCTAAAGAGAAAAGCAAAATGTCTTCTCTGAAATTCTTTCCTTCCTTTAAGATTCAGCTCAGTTGCCATTTTATCCTTGAAGCCTTTCCAGATCCCCTGAGCCAAAAGCGTTCTCTTCCACCTCAGAATTCCTCCTGCAGTTTCCTTTGCTCTTCTCATACTCTACCTACACATTTTATATTTGCTTATGTACATGTTGTGCTCCATATTACTTTGTTAGCACCTTGAGCACAGGGACTGTATGGTTTTTCATCTTCATATCCTTATTCTTCAGCATAGTGCTTCACATATAATAAACTTGTAATCAGTGCGAATTGAATTGAATTTTGATTTGCTTGTCCATGGTCTAACAGTGATAGGGGTCCAAGAAAACAACTTAGCCCCCTTATTCATATATTTATTCATCTTGTCATTACAATATGCATTTACTGAGTACTTACTATGTGCAGAAGCACCCTAGGCTCAGTCGAGGGGATGGGGAGGTCACATGCAAAGGCATGAGACATGGCATCTGTCCTGGAATTTACAGAATTTTTGGAGAGGTGAGACATGTACACATGTAGCTACAACACTGCACAGACAGCAAGTACTGCAGGAACTCAGAGGAAGGAGTGGTCACTTCTGGCTTGGGTCATCAGGGAAAATTTCATAGAGGATGTGGGATTGAGTTGCACCTTGAAGAATGCAAGATTTCAGTAGGGCCAGAACAGAGTAGGCAGGGCTTTCTGAGTTCCGGATCTGTTGGAGGTGGGGGTGGGTGGGGAGATAGGTAGGGAACAGCACAAGTACATCTTGGGTGGAGTGAAGGATTCACTCTAAAGGAGGAGAAAGGACTGGACAGATAGGTTGGGGGCAGGTAAGCAAGCTTATAGATCAGGCTGAGGGTAGTTGGTAGGCAGGCAGCGGGAACAGTTGCCTTAAGCTACTTGTGCTAAATGTCAAATGGCCTGAAAGTCCAGGATAGGCCTCTGAAAGACAGATTTGGAACAGGTCTGTTTGTCTAGTGTGAAACTGTGCTGGAGCTCATTTTTCATATAATACTTCATAGCTTACAAAGTGCTGTCACAGATACATTTGATGTTCACAACAACTCTGTGAGGTAAATACTGCAGGGTTGATTATCTCCATTTTTTGAATGAGGAAACTGAGTCCCAGAGAGGTATAGGGACTTGTCCCAAATCACAGAGTCTGTAAGCATCATAGCTGGGTCTTTCAGTTCCAAATCCTGTCGCGTTCTTTCCATATTGCTTCCCCAGAATATTGTGTTCAGATTAGGACACTTGGGCTTTAGGCCCAGCCCAAATACTTATTTCTTTGTCCTCTAGGAATTACTAACTTGGTCCCATAGCCTTGGGCAAGTTACTCACCAACATCTCTTTATCAACCTATTTGTGCCTTGGTTTTCCCATCTTTAAATCATAATGACAACTATTTCTATGTCCCTTTATGGTTTATCACCACTTTCCTTGCCACAGCCCTGAGTTAGGTAGTGTGTACATAATCATCTCTGTTTTTCATATGAGGAAACTAAAGGGCTGGAGATGTTGGCTAATAACTTGTTCAAGGTCACATAGCTAGTAAAGGCCAGAGGCTTGGGCCTCACACTTGGGTATTTAGGGTACAGATCTGGTATTCCTCATGATACCTGTCCTAGACGCCTCAAAGGACTGTTGGGAGGATAAAGTGAGTGCTTTAAAAAGGAACCGATGCTGTACAAATGTCTCCTGATGATATTGTTCATAGGAATGATTAACACGTTCCCTCAGAGACCCTTGTGAAGTGGTAAGAACACAATTTTGCATAGTCATTGAGTTATTTGCTTAGAAATATTGGCCCAAGGTAACTTCAAAAGTAGAACCTATTCTGCATACTCACCCCCTGAATCTGGGGATCTGTCGTGTATTTTGTGATCCTGAAGACCACTAGGTGGCAGCACAAACAAGAACGTTTACTTCTGGATGTTGGAGCCTGGTGAATGAATCAAGACTAAGTGATTTTTCTCCTGCAATTTAGGTCGAGATGTAGCTCTTCCCCGTGCCCATCCCCAAGCGGTGAGGCCTGTGTAGCCACCACACTATAGAAAAGTAGATCTTTGGAGTGTTTCCTTCAGTGGCTCTGGCACACGCAATGTTATGACATTCATCACAATAGTTCACATTTGCACAGTGCAGTATGGTTTACAAAGATGGCAACATGTAGTATCCTGTTTAAGTGCCCAGTGACTCATGGCACTGTTCTAAGTACTACTTGAAGTGAACAAAACAGATGTGGTCCCTTTGATGCTCACCCCAACCTTTTTAGGAAGAGAAGATTGAGCCTCAAGAGGCTAAAGCCCATTTCTGGCAAAAGAGGGAGGCAAAGGAAAGGGAGAGAGAGGCATGTATGTTCAAGTCATAATACTTAGAGGTTGCTTCTTTTTAATGGAAATAAGCAAAATAATTTTTTGATTAAACTATTTTGTGGGAGGAAATGATGTTTCCATCCATCATGTCCTATTTTGAGACTCTAGAGCAGTTCACAGGGATTTATTGAGCACCTGCTGTGTACTCTGTAGTGAGCTGGGAGCACTGAGAATGCAGAAGGCATTCAAAACTTATGCCTTTTCCTTTGTTTGGGGACACAATACTGAAACACATGAAACAATTAGAAGATAGTACAATTAAGTGCCAAATTGTAGGATTCTTCAGCTTAGTTCACCATATATGGTCCTAATATGTATCAGCACCAGAGTACTGTAAGATTAGAAGGAATACTAAAAGATTTATATCTGTATATATATAAGCATATGCATGTACTGTGTTATATATATGCAGACTATACATATGTATATATTTAACCTATATATATTTTCTATGTAATACACATTTATACGTACATACAATGTCCCATATGTCTTTTGAAACATCCTATATATGCTTATATGGATGTACTTATTTCTCTTCTATTGCTTAGCAAAGTACATGAGATACACAAGCAGACACAGACATACATATATAGTACTTGGTAAACCGTAAAATGCTATGTAACTAAGCTGCTATTGTTTTTAAACTACCTAATGTTTATTGAATATGTACCTAGGAGTTTATATCATCGTGAAGTAGAACGGTTAAAGAAGGTTTCATGGAGTTGAGACTTGATCGGGGCCTTAGCACAACGCCTGGCACATTGTCATTGTTGTCGTTCAGTTGTTTCAGTAGCATCTGACTCTTTGTGACCCCTTTTGGGGTCTTCTTGGCAGAGATGCTGGAGTGGTTTGCCATTTCCTTCTGTGGGTCATTTTACAGATGAGGAAACTTAGGCAAACAGGATTGAGTGACTTTCCTAGGGTCACACATCTAATAAGTGTCTGAGGATGGATTTAATTCAGGTCTTCCTGACTCCAGGCCCAGAACTCCCAACTTGGCACAAATAAGGCATTGAATGATTTGTGTCAGCAGAGGAGAGAAGAGAAGCCATTCCATGGAAAGGGAAGAACACAAACATATGAGCAGTAGGACTGAGTGTGTCAAGTTCATAGCGCAGTGACTAGAGCAAAGGGTCCTCATCTCATCGAAGAACGATGAGATCTAAAGGTGGACAGCTTGGGTAGGGCCTTGTTGTGGGAGAGGACCTTCTAAACCAAGCAGCGTTTAGATTGGAGGTAGCAGAAAGGAAAGAGGGGCAATATGCTCTCCAAGGCTGGGTCCACACCGTACCAAGATGGGCTGTGAGAATGGAGGACAAGGATGGGTGTGAAGGACAGGAATGAAGATCGCTGAGGCTTCATGACTGACTGAACGTGGAGAGGAGGAGTGCAAGACGACTTCAAGTGCTCAGCCTCAGAGAATGGTGATGCCATTAATAAGGCAGGGCTTCGTCACACTCTTGTAGTTCATAAATAATCTGACTTTTAAAAAGAGGTTCTTCCTCCAGTGTGTCGTTGCTCTTTTGCCTGGCAGGTGTTTGAAGCTGCGTTGGCCTGGATTAGGTATGACCAGGAGCAGCGAGAGCCCTGCCTTCCCGAGCTTCTGTCCAAAATCCGCCTGCCTCTTTGCCGGCCTCAGTTCCTGTCAGATCGAGTGCAGCAAGATGACCTGGTACGCTGTTGTCATAAATGCAGGTGAGCAAGGCCTGACCTGAATTCTGTCCCTGCTGCTTCAGGGAGCTTCTGCTCTGTCTAGAGAAGGGGTCATGCTTGTCAAGGGCCCTTAGAGGGTTTTACACTTTACAGCATCTCTATCTTAGCATCATCTTCTTTAATCGTCGCACTAACACTGTGAGATAAGTAGTCCAGGCCTTATCGTCCCTGTTTTAAAGCTCAGGAAACCCAGGCTCAAAAAGGACTTGACCAGGGTCGTACAACTAATGAATGACAGAGATGGGATTTTGCACCTGATCTTCTGACTCAGTGCTTATACAACACTTCCTCTTATTAAAGATGATTTTAGATGGCACTCATATTGCCAGTACAGGGAGCAGCATAGAAAGGAATAGAAACATGTCCCATGTTAGCCAGGAACTGCACCTTTTGTCACTGTATCCTAGGAAGGAGGTAGCAGACCCCCGAGTTCAGGTTACATGGAAGACTTCTGCCTCACATAAAGAAAGACCGGGAGAAAACTTCCTGTTCCTTTTTTGAGTGTCTGTCCCCCTCTTTCTTCTTTACTTCTCTCTTTACTTATTTACTTCCCTCTTCTCTCTTTACTTTTCCCCTTTCTCACCCCTGACTCTGTTTAAATTCATAGGTTACCAAAAAACTCCTAGTTTTGTCTTCTTCTCCCCCTGCCCCCCCGCGCTTCTCCCCATCTCCTGTGCATTTCTTCTAGCTCCCTCCTTGAACAGCGTCATCAGCCCAGTTGGGTAGCACAGAAACCATTTGCGTATTTTCTGGATTTCATCGTCATCTCAGGTCAGGCGGTTTTAATTCAGTTCCCCAAGGTGACACGGGGGTTCCAAATCCACAGGGACTTAGGGAGAAGGAAGGTTATCACTGGTGTTTGAAATCATATATTAGGATAGATGATGACTGGGTGTGACAGTCAAAAAGGTTACTGGCCCCACTTTGATGTTTAAGGTTAGCCCAGCATCTGGCTTTGAAAGTCTGTCATCTCAAAAGTATACTTACCAGCTTACCCAGTATTTTGCATAATCAAAGTTACGAAAATATTTTTTTTCCATTCTTAGCCACAACATTATACTTATTTGCTATTTCCTTTTTTTTTTAAAACATTCTCAGTACCTTCCTTTTTTTCTCCTTTCTGGGCCCAGTCCATCGTCTTCTTCATCTTTTATATCCTTACTGCCTTGTTTCTTTTCTCTTTTCTGTTACTCTTCTCATGCCTAACTCCCTCTTTTTCCTTCTTTCTAGACCCAGCCACTCTTTCCCTGCTTTTGCCCAAATAGCTCCTTTCCCTCTTTGGTCCCAGTCACCTTTTCAAAACGTCTCCTAAAAATTCAATCCTAAGCTTTCTTATAACACTGTTTGCTTTGGAGTAAAACTGGAAAACAAGCAGGTGGGTCCTTCTTGGGCCTTTTCCACCAGATATCAAGAAGACTTTATTATAAGATGGTACTACAGCATAGACACCCTCCAGAAAAAAAAACAAAACAAAACAACAAAATCTGTGTCATGTCATGGTTCCACCTGGTGTTGGGCCCTAGCAGGCAATGGAGGCCCAACTCTCTGGACAGCCTAAACCACCTCTCAAAGTCCTAGGGGAAAGACTGTTTTCTTCTGAATCTTTTTCCTTCCCACTACTATTATCACTACAGTTTAGCTCCTGTTATGCTTAAGTAGCCTCCTAATTTGTCTTCCTGATTTTAGTGTCTTCCCTTTTTAGTTTATTTTGAACACATCAAAGCACTGACTTCATTTTTTCATTATCATGTTAACCCAGGGCTCTGGCTCAGAAAGCTTCTATGGCTAGTGATTGTTCAGTCCAGTTTCCTACAGGATAAAGTCAAGACTTCTTAGCCTGACATTCTGAGTCTGGCTGCTACCTACCTCTTCACCTTTATCCCTCCGTACTCCTGCTCCGTCATTGCAGCCAACTGCTCTAGTCATCATTCTGCAAACATTCTTTGAGTTTTATTACCCTACTTGCCTTTTTTTTGCTTTTATAATTTCCTTCACCTATACTGCCCACCTCTGATTCCAGTCTATAGCAATCTAACCTGTCTCTCAGTACCCATAGCTGGTGGGAGTTACCCCTGAAAATGAGTACTTTAGGAAGATTAATTGGGCACTACCCTTAGCATGAGAATAAAATAGCATTCAATGGAACTGGAACAGCTGCCTTTTCCTAATGCTTTATTTGGGTCAGTTAACTTAGAAGGGGGGGCTTTGCATTATGTCCCAAGGGTTAAGTTCAAGCAGTCCTCTTCCCAGGACAAGGCTCCTAAGTGTTGGACCTCTAGTGTGGCAGCCATCCTGAGCAGCGTCTTGGGAGTAGGAAGAGGGACCCCTCTAAGTCTATCCTGTTTCTGGACCCGTTAATAATAGCATCTTGCAATTCTGTGGCACTTTGGGGTTTACAAAGCACTTCCCTTATACCAACCCTGTGAGGAGGTTAGTGGTATAAATATTATTATCCTGTTTTGACAGAGGAAGAAATGGAGGCTCCCAAATGTGATGTTTTTACCCAGGGTCACACAGCACGAAAGTATCAGAGCTAGAATGTGAACCAAGGTCTTCTGACTCTGAATTTTTTTGTACTTTCTGTTATACCACACTGCCTCTCCAAAGACAGAAGTATTAGGAAATTAGGAGAATCCAGTCCAGTTCCCCCACGTTCTCCAATGTGGCTTAGTAGTTTCAGTCCCATTTCATATTATTGGGGCATTTTGACCCTAGGAAGACCTGGGAACGATTTGCTTTAGGCGAATTAAGTTATTACATTCTGTATTACTAAGCCTTTCCATGCTGGTTGGGATCAGTTTATGTGCTTCCTGATGATCTGCGCCTTAATCCATGAACAAAAGCTAATTCTGAACTCAAGGGTAGCGTATGACCTAGCTGGCAGTTGGCAGCTACATCTCCGCCTATTACTGCTGGGGACCTGTTACATGAGAGATCAGATGGATTTTAGATTAATTGTGCAAAGCAAAGTTGTGGGTCAAAACAGTTTGAAGAGAGGGAAGGTTATTAGTGATACTCAGAATCATAATTTGGAGTGATTGAAGGCTAGGCTGCCGGTCCAAACATTATTGATCCCTATTTAGGTCACCCACGCAACTGGATTTGTAATATCTACCAGCTCAGAATGTTCACCAGTCTGGGCATTGTTTCTCATGTTCATAGTAATGAAATCATTTTGCCCCTTTCAGCAAAGCCATATGCTTATGCGCCTTTCTTTTTCCTGATCCCAGCCCCCTCCTTTTTCTTCCCTTTATGAAGTTCTCCCTCCTGTGGCAGATTCATTGATCAAACTGCTTTCTGGTCTCTGGTGGTGGGTTTTTAATTTCCCTATTGATTTTTTTTTTTTAGTAGCAGACCTTTTGGTTATTAACTCCAGCCCATCAGCAGAGTATAGTTAAGCTCCCAAGTGACTTGCCGGGCAATAGAATGTGTACTTGTATTTAGCAAGGAAGCATTTGCTTGTTCCCAGAAAACACAAGATATAATTGACTCAGGAATGAGCAGACGCCTGGAGATTTGTCCTCATTAACTCCACAAAACTCACACCAATACACAGTCATGCTGCCATTTGGGATCCCTCAGGTCTGTGGTGTTTGACAGCCATCCCTATTTTTATTTGAGAAAGGGTAACTTGGGTATTTCTTTTGGGAGGAAGGAACCTCGTGCTGGAGTTTGACAGTCTGTTCTTGGTTGAATGTGAGTAAATCATCTTTCTCACCTTGTGCTTCATTTCAGGGACTTGGTGGATGAAGCAAAAGACTATCACCTCATGCCAGAGCGCCGGCCACACCTGCTGGCCTTCAAAACTCGGCCTCGCTGCTGCACTTCCATCGCAGGGCTCATTTATGCCGTGGGAGGCTTGAACTCAGCAGGTATCTTGCAGCTCCCCTTTGGAATGCCCCATCCCATCAGAGGGGATTTGCCAGGAGAGTTTAGCAGCATACCCTTTGGGTTTCACCCTTTCAGATACTTGGCTTGCTTTTGTGCACTTCTTGATTTTTTAAAATGACTATGTTTATATTGTTAATGTTTATTGAGCATCAGTAAGGTGCATCTTTTCCCATTGTGTTTATGATTACAGATTCGAGGGTTCAAGAGAGAGTAAAGCAAAGACTCTGACAGTCATTCCAGTCTTAGGCCAACACAATTTAGCTGAGTCTCTAATATCAGAGCTTTAAGAAAGTAACAATTTCAGTTACTTTCTTAAAGCTCTGATATTAGACACTGGCCTAAATTGGGTTATTCCAGGTTCAAGTTGCCACTCAGTGCTTTTGGTGAGCAGGTCCTGCCATTTCTTCTCCTGTTTACTCTTCACTCTCCCTGACCAGGGATTTTATGGATGAAACAAAGGAGGTGATCTACTTTCCTGCTTGTAGTTAGTGGCAGCACAAGGTAACAGACAGTTTCATTTGAGAAATCCAGCCCAGCCATGGTAACACTGTAGCGGTGCAGGACTGGAATGGTTACCCTTGGGAGTGGCATCCAGAAGAAAATGTGTACTACATTGAGCTCTTTGGAATAAAAGAGATTAGATTGTTGTTAGGGATAGTGCCTGGACCTGTGACTTCTTAGGTATAGAGAATTCCTGAGTGATGAAACTCCCTCCCCCAAAGCAGTTACCTCCTCTACACCACGCAGTCTTAGAGAATTGCCCAAGCCTAAAGCATGAAGACACTAAGAGACACCCAGCCCATAGGTGCCAGACACAGGACTCGAGTCTCCCTGGTCTCCATCAGGCCTTTCTGGTTCTCAGGGTAGTTCTCTTGTCCACTAGGTCCTGCTGGCTCTCTGAAGGTGGCTATTATTCTTTCCAGCTTTTAACATAAAGCTTTGGTTCTAACAGGATGCTTTATATGACAAGCATAGGAAATTACATTGCAGTGCTAATTCTCTGCCGCTAGCTCTAAGCTAGGAGTTTCCTTTATTGTAACTGATTTTCAGTACTGAAAATTATCCTGTATTGAGGATAAAATGGGTCTTGGCTTTTTCTAGCATCCTAGAAGGCATAGCATGAGTGAAATTTTCACAGTGGCAATACCAACAGATGAGGTTTGTTCCTGGAAATGTTTAGGACATCTGTAGTATCTATGGTGTTTTTTCATTCCGCAGACAGAATCAAGTGAATTGCTCTGACTAGTCACTCCCCATAAGTAGCAAACTAAATGAATGGGATCATTTGTTTTAATTTGAGTAGCAAATTTTTATGCAGGTGATTCACTGAATGTGGTCGAAGTGTTTGATCCCATCGCCAATCGATGGGAGAAGTGTCAACCTATGACTACAGCCCGCAGCCGTGTAGGAGTGGCTGTGGTCAACGGGCTCCTGTATGCCATTGGAGGATACGATGGCCAATTGCGGCTGAGTACTGTGGAGGTGTACAACCCTGAGACGGATACATGGACCAAAGTGGGCAGCATGAACAGCAAACGAAGGTATTTGGGCTTTGAATTCTGCCATGTTGCTTTTCTGCTTTATTTTATCCATTCATTTATTCATTAAGTAAATATTTGTTGAGTCTCTGTGTACAGTGAGGGATGCAAAGGACTAAAGCACAACTTAGAACTGAGGGGCGTTCTTTTGGACCATCTGGTCCAACCTCTCATTTTATTGAGGAGGAAACTAAGGCCTGGGCCTTATCACAGTGCTCGTAAGGGACTCTAGAGCTCTTGAAGATGGCCCCCTCTCACCCCACACACACGTAGACATGGAAAGTGAAATAGGATGTAAGTTTCACGTAAGTGGGATAGTCGTGCTGTAGGAACTCTGCAAGAGTGATTTCAGGAAGCCAGAGGGACTATAGGAGACTTCATGGAGGCTCCATTAGAGGCCGGATTTAGGATCACACATCCCAGATGCTAATCCCTGAGGGGCCTTAGGCAAGTCATTTAGCCTCTTACTCTATAAAATTAAGAGATTGTTGACATAGCCCCTAAGGTTCGTCTCAGCTTTAAATTTATGATCCAAAAAAACTTCAAATGGATTTAAGTGGATAGGATTTCGTGTTCTAGGGCAGGTGTGTAGATACAGAAAGTTGCCCAAAGTAACCAGCTCAGTCTCCTTTCCCTTCCTAGTCCCTAACTACCTGGTTTATCCTGGGATTAAGCCAGTATTTTAACTTCTGGACCACAGGCAAATAGGGGCCTGTCTTCTTTTCTAACATTGGAATTGTGACACGTCTGGATGCTATTCTGAGTGACGTGAGATGGCTCAGTGGGCTGAAGAGTGCTCTAAACAGTTGTCTGTGTGGGGTATAGTTCAAAGAACCTTTCACTTGGAATCAGGAGACCTGGGTTGAAATGACCCAGGCCAAGTCACTTCACTTTTCTGAGGATAAATCTTCTCATCTATAAACTGGAGATGATAATGCTTGCATCGAGAGGAAAGATGATGTAGGGAATTTAGGATTAGCCTCAAAGTCAGGAAGACCTGGGTTCAAATCCTACCTCTAACATATAGTATCTGTGTGACCATGGTGAGGTCATTTAACCTCCTAGTTCTCTAGGGAACTCTCTAAGACTCTAAGTTATAGATAAGTTGCTGATTTGCCCTGGTGAAAGGAGTTTGCATATTGGAAACTGTCCTTACCAATGAAAGCCCAAGTTTGGCTCTGCCTCCTAAATAGGGGGGAAAATGCATGTTCTTCATGTCCTTGATTTTCTGTGAGCAGAGTACCCTGTAAATGATAGATCACTATAAAAAGTCATATTACCAGTATGAATTTTCTCTATCACGGTTACTTTCTCTCCATCCCTCACTTTCTTTTCCAGAAATAAGAAAGGAAAACCAATTTACCTCTGTTTTCAAGCTTTTTGCTACCTAAATGGTTAATGGTAATAAATTATATATTGTATAATTAAAAACATTTGTATAGATAGATGTGGTGCTTTTTTTTCTAACTAAGGAAATAGTGCTCATATTTATGTCCAGAGATAATGAATCTGTGCTTTTTTGTATTATTCAAATCCTATTTAGAACGGATTAAACTGTGGTTCGTCCTGGAAACAAAGAAAACATCATATATAACCCACTTCTCAAAACCCACTGGTTAATGCCATGTCTGCACTTTCTTCCCACCACTGATGCTTTTGGTGACTTTCCTCTTCCCACTCTTTGGATATAATACAGCATTTCTGTGGCTTTAAATGTTCCATTGTCCCATTTCCCCAAATTTTAGTTATTTCCTTACTTTTTGTTTGGGGCAGGGGTGGACTGAAGTGGAAGGTTGCCAGTCATCTTTCACTTATTTTCATTTGCCTACTTTCTTCTCATTAATTTTAACAGAATTTCAAATAGAACTTGGGAAGGCATGCTACTGGTCTAGTTACTCTCTCTTTTTGAATAATGCTCTGTTATTTAATAGTTTTGATATAGCCCATTTCATTTTCATTAAATTATAGGCTTCGTTAAAATGTTCTTGGTAGTTCTGTAAGCTTGAACAGTAATCTTTTTTCAGGCATTCTCTTCCCTACAGTGCTTTTTGGAGGAACTTTCATTCTCTTCTATCCATCATTTGAGGGTTAGGTCGAGTGCAACAAACTTCTTGAAGCCTTCCTTCTAAGACCGCGCCTCCACCCCCCACCCCCAGTCCCACACTAAAATTTCCCTGCTTTAACCTTACCACCTGGGCCACTCATTTAGTAATTGTACTGCTTTGGACAACCTTTTGTGTTTCATTTTTGTACCATTGCTATTTATAGGCTGATTAATGGGCATAAGATTAAGTGTGTTTAATGTTGGTATTTTCCCAACTGCTTTTCACCCACCAGAGCTTAGAGGAAATACTGTGTGATTTCTCTCTCTACTTGAGTGCTGTGGGACAGTGTGGTGAAATAAGCAGACTGTGAACCAGAGAGCCAAAAGACCCATGCCTTTATCCAGATCTTACTGTGCTGTTCCACGTTGTTATCAGTGACTTGGATAAACAAGTAAATGGCATGCTTATCAAATTTCCAGATGAAATAAAGCTGAGCAGGATTGTTGGTATCCTAGATGACACATTTATCAAGCACTTACTGTACATCAGGTAATGAGGGGACACAGAGACAAAAAAGAAATAGTCGCTATCCTCTGAGAACTTATATTCTATCAAGGAGTGGGGAGAACACACAGGGTAATATGTACATATATAAGTACATACAGAGTATAAACAAAATTAGTCCAAGGTGTTTTTGTGAGGGAGGGAAGTCATTAGAATTTAGAGGATGGGGAGGAATCAGGAAAGGCATTGTGTGGAAGGTGACGCGATCAGTGTTGAAGAGGGAGTCCATTCCAGACACATGAGGCAGAGCCAGTGTGTAAAATGTAGAGATGAGATATAGGGTGTTGTATGGGAGGAATGGCAAGAAAGCCAGTTTGTTGAGACTGTAGAGTGGTTGAGGTGGAGTAATTTATAAGACTGGAAAGGTAGGTTGGGGCCAGGTTGCAAAGGAGGATCTTGCTTTTCAAGTTGATGTCAAACTACTGATGTGACTATTCAATTTTTCTACCTGTCTAAAGAAAACTTTCTTTAGTGCCTTCTGTACCTGTGCCTCACCTACATCTCTCCATCTTTCTCACAAGAATCCCATGAAAGAATTGGCCACATGTTTTGATAATATCAGGTCATTTGTATCAATGGCATTTTCCTGATCTATCAGGAGTCTAGTGATCCCATCAAAAAAAGGAAATAAAATTAACTGGCATGACTTGTTCTTTTTTTTTTAATGTTTTATCTTTTCCAACTACATGTAAAGACACTTTTTAACATTCATTTTTTAAAATTTTGAGTTCCCAGTTTTCTTTCTCCCTTTCCCCTTTTCCCCTTCCCTAAAACAGTAAGCAATTTGATATAATTTATGTATGTGCAGTTATGTAAATTGTATTTCCATATTTAGTTATGTTGTAAGAGAAGAAATAGACCAAAAGGAAAAAACCATGAAAGAAATAAAGTGAAAATAGTATGCTTTGATCTGCATCAGTTCTTTCTCTGGATGTGGGTAACATTTCCCATCATGCGTCCTTTGGAATTATCTTATATCACTGTATTCCTGAGAATTAAGTTATTCATAGTTGATCATCGCACAGTGTTGCTATTACTGTGTACAGTGTTCTCCTGGTTCTGCTCACTTCACTTTGCATCAGTACATGTAAGTCTTTCCAGGTTTTTCTGAAATCCACCTGCTCCTCATTTCTTATAGTACAATGGTATTCCATTACATTCATAACCGCAACTTGTTCAGCCATTCCTCAATTGATGGACATTCCCTCAATTTCCAATTCTTTGCCACCACAAAAAGAGCTGCTATAAATATTTTTATACATGTGGGTCCTTTTCCCATTTCTATGATCTCTTTGGGATATAGACCTAGAAGTGCTATTGACCAGCCTCACTTTTTCCTCCAGAGCCATCTGGGTCCAGTGGCCAGATATTGATCTGGGCAACTGAAGATGACCCAGGATGCAGTGGGAGACCTTGGCCTTTTTAAGCTAAGGTCTTTTCAAGTTCTCACTTTGAGTGAGGCAATGCTCATTCCATGAATAGGCCTCTTTAAGAAGTGAGTCAAGAGATGGCCCTTTTAATAAAAAAAAAAATCAAACTGGGAGGGGAAGACCCTCAGGTTTGCTGGCCAAAAGAGAAAGTTACTGTTTACATTCACTCTGAGCCAGGAGGGCCCAAAAAATAACCATAAAATGGTGCTTGGGATCTCATTGATTTTGAAATTATTAGCAGGTTGTGGGAGGAGTATCACCTGTAAGAGAATTTTATGATCCTGACATGGTTCTGGGATTTTGAACTTTTAGGATCTGAAATCATCAGAGTGAGATTAGTGTTAACCTCAGGTTTCTCCTCATCTTTTTTGCCTTGTGATATTTTTTTCTTATGCTTATTAGAGGCAGTTGGTGGCACAAAGGATAAGAACAAATCCAGCCTCTGACACTAGCTATGGGACCATGGGCAAGTCTTTAACCTGTTTACCTCAGTTTCCTCAACTATAAACCAGGATAATAGCACCAACAGTTTTGAGGCTTAAATGAAATATTTGTAAAAAGTGCTTTTTGTTGTTGTTTAGTCATGTTTGACTTTTCATGACCCCATTTGGGTTTTTTTTTGGCAGAGGTACTGGAATAATTTGCCATTTCCTTCTCCAGCTCATTTTATAGATGAGGAAACTGAGGCAAACAAGTTTAAGTGACTTGCCCAGGATCACATCAGTATCTATTCTTCTTTTCATAGTTGTGGCCAAATAGCAAATCTTAGATTCCAGTCTTGCTTTTGGGCCCAAGATTAATCTCCAGATGGCATCCTCACAGCAATCAGTGTCATCAGAGAGATAATAGTAGCACCAAGAATGTTTTGTCTCATAAACCAAGGGAAAGGACAGTATCCAGAAGGAAGAAATTATCAACATGTCAAATGATGCAGTCATTAGAGAATGAAAATTAAACAAGAGTC